AACTGACCGCATCAAGGCGGACTTCCGAAACCTGGGTGAGCACCTCTGACGGTTCTCGCTCCCCATCGAGCTCTTCTTGCCGCACGGCTCTTGCTGTGTGCCGGCACAGAGCTCCGTGCCAGCCTTCCAGCGTGATAGGAACGAGTGTATCGCTTCGACGGATCGACCGTGCTTGTTATCAAGACCGATTTGACGCACACAGTGACACATCAGACGACACATATTCTCCCACCCGCCGGGACGCAAAACGCTCTCGACGAGAGCCACAAGAAGGCGTCCACACAGCAAGCCGCTCGGTCGATCACGTTGCTCGCTCGATGCCGGCGAGCGCATGGCGCACGCCTTGGACGGTGGCGAAGCCAAAAACACCGATGGTGGCCGTCCGCTGGCGTGAGCGGCGGCGGTCGAGACCTCACCATTCGCGCCGACGACCCAACCTCACGGAAGAACCCAACCCGGGCCAACCCAACCCAACCAACCCAACCCAACACGAAACAACCCAACTCAAAGCACGATTCTGAAGTTGGGCCCTCTCCCCGGCGGGGGGGGGGGGGGGGGGGGAGTCTGGAGTTTTTTGTTTTGAGTTTGGACCGGGCGGGATTGCGAGCGAGTATTCTTCGTACGCCACGACGACACACACCAGTCGACTCGCATCTCCATGAACGGCCCAGCCTACAGTGTTTGGACCATCGCCCTGATTCGCGTGGCAAAAAAGCGAGCTCTGCCCGGGCAACGTCTTCCATAATGAAAGCTCTCGTGACAACCGGCGGGTGCGGCGCGCCCTGCCTCCTTCGCCTGCTCGAGCGCGGCGTCGAGGTAAAGCGCCAAACAACCCTTGATGGGGAGGAGTGGGGCGGACTACGGGGATCGGCTTCTAACATCGCCCTTCCTTGCAGCGAGCCCCCTCCAACCCACCCGCGCTAGGAAGTAGGCTAGGTCCAGGGCGGCGAAGGGAAAAACTCCCGACGAACCCCGGAACTAGCCGGGGCAGTCGGAGAAGGGGCAACTCCGTGCACACTGACGGTCGGCCGCCAGAAAACACGCCTGCGTGGATCGCGTCACACCAATCCTCGCTACCCAACGCGGCCAAAGGATATATCCACCTCGAGAACCTCGAGAGAACGGTTTTACCGCCACGGACGGGCGGATAGACCAGGACTTGAGGCCACGGATGCGCACGCGGCTGCCCACCCACGCACGCGCACCGCACAACGGCACCTGGGCACACACACACACACACACACACACACACACACACACACACACACACACACACACACACACACACACACACACACACACACACACACACACACACACACACACACACACACACACACACACACACACACACACACACACACACACACACACACACACCTGTTTTTTTTATTTTTTCTCTCGAGCTCGGCGTTCCATTCCCCCCCCCCCCCCCCATGTGTGTGGAGTTTCTGAAGGGGGTGCGCCTCGAGAACCTCGAGAACCTCGAGAGTAGTGAGGTTGCCGCAATTTTCTTCCCCCCTCGGAGGGGCGGACTGAGGGGTCGAGGGCCCCGCTTTTTTTTTTTCATAGGGGCCACTTTTTGGATCGCTGGTCGAGCGACCCGGGGGATGCCCCGCGCGCCTGACCCAGGCGCGAAAACGAATCTGCGAGGCGTGGCCGCTCACGCGGCCCGATGGGGAGGAGCGAGGCAGACTACGGGGATCGGCTTCTTACACAGCCCTTCCCTGCAGCGAGCCCCCCTCCAACCCACCCGCGCTAGGTCTCGGGCGGCGAAGGGTTCACACCCGACGACCTCGGGTGCTCGGGAACTAGCCGGGGCAGTCGGAGAAGGGGCAACTCCGTGCACTACTGTCCAAGGCGAAAGTCTGCACAGGTTGTGAGGGACACGATCCCGGCGTGAACACGACTAACTGACGGATCCGCTCCTGACAGTGGCACGCGCCGCAGTGCGGCGCGTGCCACTGTCTTTGTTTGAAGTAAAAAGTCGAATCAGAGCGCCGTCGGCGCTGTCCCTCGTTTTCCTCCCACGGACCGCCCGTCCGCCGGCACCGCTCCGGGACGCACGCCGGCGAAGCACCATCAAGCTGCTGTACGGCCCCGGCATCGCCTCCCCTGGCTTAGCTAGACTGAGAGATATTGTGCATATGGTTGGTTCCTACAATATATACCTCGAGGTACACTGACACTGAACCTCCCAGAGATCGTCCCGGTCCGTCACGGCCATCCTCGGCCTCCGGAGGGCCCCCGGCCGCGGCGCGGTGCGGCGGCGTCACACAAATCCGACCACAGAGCACCGGGACGCGGTCGGGCGATCCGAGGCCCAACTAGACGTATGCATTGCCTATCCAGGGCTACGGGGTGTGGACCCTGAGTTGACCAGGGGTTGTGCGCTGGGCTCTCCTGCTCGGCTCCAGCCAGTAGACAAGTCTTGTCATCAACAGAGTAGAAGGATCTGACCTCGGGGCCGATGTGACCAAGCGCTGGTAGCGTGGTTTAACCTCACACCCATGGTCTCACAGTGTGCCGGCAGTCGCCGAGCAGTGTCGCTCACACAAGCCGCAGCACAAGTGACTGAGGGCCAGTGAGGGCGAGCCCATCGCTGTCACAGCTGTGGCAGCCGCACAGTAAGCTGTGCCATCTGTGCAGAGTGTGTGAGCAGCAGAGGAGCTGCTCTCCAGGCTTCTGTCGCAAAGAGCTGCATGCCACCGAAAGCGCTGTCGAGGTTCGCCGAGCGCGGCGAAATCGGGGGACACCGTCACCGACGAGCGCGTTGGACTTTTCACTCCGGACAAAGACGGCGACACGCACACGAGCTGCGGCCGTGTCGCCGTCTTAGCGGCGAGGCGCGGGACCGTCTGTGGCGAGGTGGGTCGCGTCCCCGGATTTCCTCAACTCACGGTCCGCTCCCTCTATCACCTGGACCTATCAACAGGCGCCTGCGGCGCCGTGGTCAGAAGCTGCTGCTCCAACCTGTTCACACTTTCATAGTTGACTTGGAGCACTTGGAGTGCGGTCATTAACCTCACGTCCAGGACCGGGGAGCTAAGAAGCGCACCCAGTTGGCCGGACGCTCGGTATCGGGTTGCGGGCTAGAGAGCCCTAGCCCCGGGTGTGCGCGGTCGCAGGGCCATAACACGTCTCCGAGGGATGGTTCCGTGTACCGGGTTACCCCTTAACTGCAGAACGCACCCTCTTCCTCGACCGTGGGGGGGTGCGCGGTCGCAGGGCCACAATGGTATTTTTTCTCTCGGCGTTTGCTGCCCCCCCCCCGTGTTGAAGACCAACAACATTCGCCGCGCTGCCTACGAAGATGGCCACCTCAGCGCCGACAGTGGTTGCCACGTCGGCCCGCGCCTCGTCGGAGCACGATGCCGCCGTTAGCATCCAGAGGCACGTTCGCGGTAAGTTTGCCCGCAGCGAGCTTGGCGAAGCTTCCAAAGCCTACTTCCAAAGCCTCGCGCGCGTTCGAGACAGCGCCGGTGGTCGAGACAGCGCCGGTGGTCGAGACTTGGACCCCGTTGAGTCGTACCGAGACCAGCAGTTGCGCGCCTTCCGATCACACTGGACCGTACGCTTTGACCACCGGCGTACGCATCACCTCTTCCGGCTGCTCGACGTCAAGGGCGACTACAGGGTCTCCGTGCACGAGCTCGCGGTGCCTTCCCGAATCTCCGTCGCTCCCGCTACCTTTCGCTCGGCCCCTCGTGACTGCGTGTGTGGAACTCTCTGTTCAGGTGGGGCTCCTCTCCATCGGCCTCTTCGACGGCTTGGCGGCGGAGAGTGAGGAGGAGCGGCAGAGGCAGATCGGCTCCCTCACCAACGCGTGCATGCTCTTCTTTGATGAGGACGAGAGCGGCATGCTGTCGGCGCGCGAGTTCTTTGCCATCTTCCACGGCGCGCACTGCACTGGGCCGTGCACGCTTGATGCCATGGGCCGCCTGTCCTTCTAGCCGTGTAGTCGCGAGGGCTGCCCCCCCCCCCCCCTTTGGGGCCTCCCCTTTTTTCTCTCCCCCCTCTTTTTTTTCCTCTCTCTTTTCCCCCTCCCTTTTTCCCCCCCCTTCTCCCTCTTCTCTTTTCTTCCCCCCTCTTCTCCCCCCCTTCTTTTTTCTTCTCTTCTTTCTTCCCCCCCCCTCCCCCCTTTTTTTTCTCCCTTTTTTTTTCTTCCCCCCCTCCCCCCCTTTTTTT